ACTGTGTGCTCATTATCTAAGCTTCTAACATAAAATTCTGAATTTGAAGTGGCTGAGCACTCCACAACAAGACCACACATACCATGCAACAACTCTGCTCAAACATTGAATATAGCTTCCTCGTATAAACTAAAGCTCCTTGCCTCAACACAGGACTACTTTTTACAGTGGGGACAATTGCAGACTGTTCAGATTTAAAATCTTCATCCCTCTCATTCCTTCTCCAAGCTTTCATGAAATTTTCAAGACCGAAGAAACTCTCAGTGAGGGTGCTTGTTGGCTTAGAGGCATTATGACAAATGTTATTCGTCGACTAAACTCCTCCTCAGAGTTACACCTAGTCATGCATTTATAAAAAAGCTCATTGACTTTCTTGGTGCTTACACCACAATGTAGTTTTGAAGATAATTTCTTGTAAATATGTCATTGGCACAATCTATGTCTTGTGTGCAGAAGACACTCTTCAATGGCTTTGGTCATTATTTGATCCTGATCAGTGAATATTGTCATCGGGTGCTTGTTGTCCATAATCCGAATAAATGACTTGAATAGCCACTTGAATGATTCAACTGTTTCATCTAACAAAAAGCCAACTCCAAATAGAACGTTCTGCCAGTGGTGGTTCACACCAACAATAGGAGCACAACATAAATTGTATTTATTTAATCTATAACTTGTGTTAAATATTATGGCATCCCCAAAGCAATCGTAATCAAGTCTGGATATCCCATCACTCCAAAAGAAATTCAATAAACTACCAGACTCATCAATTTGGACGTCCCATGCAAACATCGTATCCTCTGTTTGCCTCTCAGTGAACAATCTAAGTAGAGAATTAGTGTCCCCATTTTCAATCTTACCCTTTTTCTCTCTTTGTATGAAATTATACGCATCCCTCTTCGTGCAATCAAGATTTTCAACACCCCCAATTCTGTAGCCAGAAAACTAAAGGCATCGCTTGTTCTGATCCCTGATTTTGTCATCGATCTGAGCACTTGTGCACTGACATCACTCATTTTTCTGCTGGAACGCAATAGATGTTTGTCACCCCTCTTCTGTACTTCACCGCCACGTTGTTATTCATTTCTTTCTTGAAACCAGTCTTACCACAAATGAAATCTTTTGTCTTAATCATTTTTGAATTATGCCAAAAACCAACATGGTCCTTTCGCACAGTGAATCCAATATGGTGTGCATATGCACAATAATTTTTGTTGGCTTCCTTCTCATTATGAAACACCGCGCGAAGCAAACTATCCGCATTTGGATCAATGCTCACAGTTAAAGACTCGGGGAGCTGCAAATTTCAAACATTCCACCATTAGATTGACAAAATAACACTTCAACGTAACCAATTAGTAAATACAATTATGCTGGTACGTAACGATAAATTAATAACAACATAATACAAAATACAATCATAATACTACATAAATAATATCATAATAACACAAAAGTATACTTCAAAGACAAAAATACAAAAATACTAGCATAATAAAACCATGATAACACCAATATAACACTACTTACACCAAACATAACACTCTGTTAAAAACACTAATTAGATACAACAATAAATAACACATTGATATGTAATACAACCATAATACTACAGTAATAATACCATAATAACACACACACTCTTGAAAGCC